GGAAAGAAACTTGTTTTGCTTGGTCCTAATGAAAAGGTGGACAACTTGCTGTCAATCAAACCCACTTGGGTAGCCAATTTGTCGAGAAAGCTACCCAAACTCAGGTGGGGCAACATCTGTTAAAGCACGTTTCCCTTGGGAGTGTGAATGCGAGGTGGATGGGATGGATCTGGGCCCACTCTTCTTCTACAACTTTGAACTTACTTGGAAGAACAGTATGCCAACTTACAGAGATGACCCCAAGGTGGGGGGTCCAACCTGACTTGGACAAGTGTTCAAAAGTGTATTAAACACCCTTCTCACTTCAGAAGAAGTGAGGTAAAGCTCAGAAGGAGGCAGATGGGCTTCATGCAGAAACCCTTGGTGATCCAGCTCAGGCTGCAGGAAGCATAACTGTGTGAAAAGCAGATCTCAGTTGGGTTGTGAATGCTGGGGAAAGTCTGAAACATGAACTTTATAGAGATTGCATTCTTGCAGGTGTGTGAAGAGGGGGACAAAACAAAGAAGCTTTAATGAAGTACAGAAGGTAAAACAGAAACCGAATGAGAAGTCTTCAGAATTTCTAGACAGGGTCTGTAAAGCCTACTGGCAGTACAGATACCGATCATAAGGACCTAGAGAATTTAAAATGGGCCCTCTGATTCTCATTCGACACACAGAAGCTGCAAGAGATGGGAAGGGCTTTAGAGATGCTGACATCTCAACTTGTTGAAATGCCTTAAGTTTGTAATTGCAGGGACTAGTTTCAAGAGGAAAGGAAACAATGGAAAACAAAACGGGCCATTGTGCTGGCGGCTGCCTGAACTCAGGGAAGAGTGGACCAAATTGAGGCCCCAATGAGGGAAAAGAGTAGGAGGCCTCAAACCGCCACTTGAATGGGGCACCCGAGAGTGGGACCACACTAATGTGCCTCTTGCAGGCAGAGGGGACCCTGGGATAGTGTCCCACGCTTAGACTCTTAAAGAAGGTAGTGAAAGTGGCTCAGTCGTGTCTGACTCTTTGTGATCCCATGGAGTATATAGTCCATGGAATTATCCAGGCCAGAATACTGGAGTGGGTAGCCTTTCCCTTCTCCAGGGGATCTTCCCAACCCAGGGATCGAACCCAGGTGTCCCGCATTGCAGGCGGATTCTTTACGAGCTGAGCCACCAGGGACACCCTAAAGACGGTAAGCAAGTGGCATACCCAGTGCCCCAGGTAACTGACCGTGACAGTGACCAAGGGTGATGCCGCTGAGTCATCACTGCCTCCCACATGGAGCCCTGGGTGACTTGACAGAGGGAAATCACTGTGTGGGAATCTGGGAACCTGGTTCTAACTGCCTAGCTTTCTAAACTTTCTTTTGAGACTGTTACTAGCAAGGAGTGTCAGAGGACCCTAGAGGAAAGCTCTTCTCCAGCAGGGGAAGAGCCCCTGTTGGCTTTCTGCCCCTGCCTGACGGCCTCGCTCCCCTTCTGGGATGAAATTGACTGAACTAAGTGCCAGGGTAGCCTCCACACCTGGATACCGGGTGGATGTTAAACCACCACTAGAGCATATCTGCAAGTTGCAGGCTCTACCACGGCGGTTCTGGGAGAGAAAGCCCAGAGCGTGAGTCTGGGGGATAGGCAGATGTGGGTGCTGGGAAGAGGGGAGATGGCCACAGCTGTACAGATCAGGCTCTGCAGGGGGCAGGCATCCCAGACGTCATGCAGTATCCATGAATAGGAGGAAGCAAAGCCTGGGGTGGACTCCTAACGACCTTCCTCCAGTATGACCCAGTATGCTCTTGGTAGTCACTTTGTGATTGGCTGGTCCACATTTGAGTGTTTGTACTTGATTGAAGAGCACTTAATAGGTTGTAGGAATGCATTGCTGTTCCTTACTCATACTCTGCTCGTGACTTTGTTCAGGGTCTCTTGTTGGGTGAACATTTTGGACTTGAAGGAGGCCTTTCCTGCACACCTCTGAGTTTTGAATCCCAAGTCTGCTTTCGAGTGGAAAGATGGAGGTAAAGGAGTTAGACCACAGTATTGCTGGACAGCACTTCCTCAGGTCATTATGAGTTCTTCACTGGAGTAGTCCTGGCCAGACTCCAGGGACCTTGAACCCTTAAACCTGCTCCAGGATGCAGATGATGCCTGGGCACCAGTGAGACAGAGGACATCTGAGACCAGGTACGGGTTTGACTTCAGAATTCTTGGCCAAACGAGACTGTAACGTGTCCAGGAAGAAGGCCAGTTCTCAGCGCTCTTAAATATTTGAGGTTTTGAACTCAAGAACAGAGAGCTGCCTGCTAATGGGGGCGGGGAAGCTCTAAGCAGGATCGCAGTTGCCACCCGAAGACACTGGGGATCCTGGGAGTGACTGGGCTCTGCCACACCTGGACCCCCAGCTCTGGACTCACAGCAGAGCCCTCCTGGAGATGCTTTTAAAGGAGGAGACGGGACCTTTAGGCTAGAATCTTGAAAGATGAACATCCAGAAGGCTGCCTCCATCTCTGCAGGATCGGCCCTCAGAACTGCGATGGGAAATGGAAAACACGCAGCAGAAGGGTTTGACCAGGGTCGTCCAAACCTTGCTGGTTCCAGCCCCAGCCCCGACAGTGGCTTCTGCCAGAGGCAGGGCAGCCCTGACAGATTTCAGGTTGCTTTTCAGAAGCTGCAAGGAAAAAAAAAGCTACAAGAAAGAAACCAGGGTGAATGGGTTTGCTGCAGTGGTGGCTTTGTCCAAGTCACACCCTTTAGAAGGCTACTTCTAGGTTATGAGCAGGATGTGTTCTTTTGTGAGTCCTTTGTCTCTAACCTCCCGGGCTTAGAAGGACTTCTGCTTTGATAGAAATAGGTTATGATGAGGATTTCTGCTACTTTGGTAGAAGAGGGTAATCTCTCTGGTGATGGCTCTGTCTTCCAGAACCTGGTTTCTTCCAAAACCTTCCAAAACCAGATCGTGCTGACCCCTTAGTTGTGGTGGTCAACTTTCTGACCACAGCTAACTTCACTGACTTCAGATGTAACCTATCAATTGGGCTGATCACCTGTCCCCACCTTTCCCTGGATAAAACCCCTAAAAATCCTGAACATTACCTATGGCTGGCTTTCTGTGTGCCCCTTGAGGGTATGTCTTTGCAGTTTTAGTTACCAGCCTTGGGCCTGTGTCTGCCTTGACAACTGGTGCACAGGAGGTATTTGTTTGTTGGGGTCAGTGTTATCGTGAAACCGGGGATAAGAAAATGCACTCAGACAAGTGCTGAGCAGTTTGACTCTTCAAGCCCTAGTTGGGTCTGTGCCACTTATAAGCAGAAACTAGCCAAAGCCATCCTCTTCCCCTCTTCCCCAGATTGAGGCACGATCACAAGATGGCGGGGGAGGGGGGTACTGAACCCAGAACCTGTGGGCTAAACCTGTTTTCCCTGCCGTTCCTAGTCAAGGTTGTGAAGGCTTACATGTCCTCCCAGCAGTGCAGAGCCTAATCGATAAGCGTTGATCTGAGGTGTCTTCTAGGAGCTTGGAGGCAACTCGGTTGAGTTTGGACTGAGCTGGTTGAGATGGGATAGGACCACCAACCCCTCCCCTGGATCTGCCTGTGTACTGGTGACCTTGTGGACGTGCAGAGGCCTGGAGTCTAGTCACGCCTGTGCACAAGGACAGTTAGGCACCTCTTTTATCACAGTGCCCACATGGCCCTGTTCACTCTCCTACCGATACCCCAGTCTCGCACCTCCTGGGAGGCAGACCTGAGATTTGTTCTCCCGTGTCCACACTTGGCTGCCTCACGAAAAAGCCCTCTTTGCTAGCGACCTTGGCATCTCAGCATCTTGGCTGGCTGAGCACCCGGCAGAGTGAACCTGGCCACTAACAGTGACACTACTAGTGACATTTTGTCTAGGAGGGCTCCTGCCTGCTTCATCCCCAGAAAGCCCCTGACAGCAACCTGGTGCCGTTGGGCTCAGCATCCTCAGATGCCGGGCCTTCCCACTCGGTCCTGAAGACCATGAAACTTGTCATCAGAAGTGGTTAGTCTTCCAGTTGTTCAGAACTCAGAGGCAGGGCTGTCTTCCCTCCTGGCTGGAGCGCTTTCTGAGTGGGTGCAGAAGGTCAGCGAGGTCCAGGGCAATAGGACTTCTGTGTGACTAGGATCCAGGCGTCAGTAGTGCTTTTCCAGACCCAGCTCTCTAGAGACGGTAGACTCTGAACTTGAAGGACAAGGGCCAAGTCCCCTGACCACTGTGGGAAATGCCATCATTTGAGGGGCCAGGGGGTCAAGGGTGGTCCTGCACTGAGGGTGGATGCTCCTCAGAGGACCCTGGATCAGTGAGCAAATGTCTCTCCAGGGGATTTCCCGTGGACGCAGGTGCCCTCTGCTCTTTGTGATCAGTGATCTTACTGGAACGACTTGGAAAGCTCAGGTGCTGGTTAGCATTTTTTAGCAGTGAAGTATTAATGGTGTGTGCACTGTTCAGACATAAGTCTACACATAACAGGCTTAGGCGTAGTGTTCTCGAGCTTTATATGCACTGGACACCTGCCAGTTCACATGACTCACATTGTGTGATTGAGTCCTGGTGATAGATGTAAACCGAGTTCTCTCCCAGGTCTGCCTGTCACTTGCCTTGGGGAGCCTGTGTTCTGGGAGCAGGACTGGGGGTATGGGAGCGCCGTGGGCCCCTCTGCACTGTGGAGAAGGGACGGTCTGGGCCGGTGTGACTGACAGGTGGGCTGGAGCAGGAGGGCCACAGTCTCTTCCGGAGCAGACTCTAGGCGGGCTCCTCTGAGTGGTTCCCAGTGAGGTCCTGACTCCTCAGGCTTCGAGGTCTGTCTCTTCATTGTCTCATTTTAGCAAGTTTCCTATTGAGTCAGATTAGCTGGAGCTCCCCAGGCTCAGCGTGTGACCAGACTGCTCATCCCGATAGCGAGGTCTGAGCCCCTGCCTGCGGTCGGCACAAATCGTGTAAGTCGTTTAGTGGGGTCATCCTGCTATGGTCTGAGTGTGTATCCCCCCAAAACTCAGGTTGAATCCAAATGCCCGGGGTGGTGGTGTGGCCTTTGGGGGGTGATGAGATGAGGAGGGTGGAGCCCCCACGAATGCGGTCAGAGTGCCCCCAGCCCTTTGGCCACTTGAGGACACGGGGAGAAGGCACCGTGTGTGAGCTGTGGAGAGGCCTCACCAGACATGGCGCCTGCTGCGTGTTGATCCTGGATGTCCCTCCTGCAGGCTCTGAGGACTCGGCTCGTGTCCTGCTGCGACGAGCTCAGCAGACGGCCCCACCCCTGCTGTTCCGTCTCGCCAGCTTCCTGCTGTGGTCCCACCTGCTCCTGAGGGTTGCCTCCAGAGCGGGAGGCGAGCCTGCCCTTGCCCCCATAGGAAAGTCCGTGGCAGGAATGAATCCTTCTTGCCTGACTCTCCTCCTGTCCTGACAAGTGTTGGGGGAGACAGAAACAGGGTCTGAGGATGGGGGGCTGCTGCGTGTGTCCCTTTGTGAAGTCACTTCACAGAGGAGAGTGTGGGGCTGGGATTTGCTGGACTGGGGCCATGCTTGTCTCGGTTCTCACTTGTGGTAACCATTAAAAAGTATAGTAAACCCGTTTCATGGTGACAAAACATTTCTTGTCTTAAGAGAACTGCTTTCCAAAACCAACCGTTTATTGAGAAGTGTAAATTATTGTATATTTTTGCCAGTTTATCCTGAATTTCCAGTAGTGAGGAGAGCTCACACCCGTTCCTGCATCTGTTGGTCGTACCAGACCAGGGCCTGGAGCCATGTTTCCATAAGTGAGGAAACAGGACTGGGGGGATGGTGACCCGGGGCCAGTGGGGACCTGCCACTTCGGGAGCGGCGCGGGCAGTCCGGCTGGGCTGTGGGCCCTGGGGCTCTAACTCTGAGAGCAGGGCCCCTGGGAGTCTTCAGCCAAGAACAGCCGTGTGGTGACTCAGGAACAGAGTGGTTCTGCCAGGTGGACCAGGTCTTGGTGGGGAGCCGGGACGGAGGCGGAGGTGTGCATCCTGGCGCGTCCTGCAGGTGGAGCCCGCGGAACACGCTGGCTGGGTGGAGTCCAGGCCATCCCGGGAGGACTGTCAAACCCCAGGGAGGAAAGCCGTGCCCTTCCCGAGGCGGAGGCAGTTGAAGAGAGACAGGACGAGGCCGGTTCGGGGTGAAGTGGCGCTCGATGCGTTTCAGACACCCTGGAGACGCTTGGGGGCAGCTGGCTGTGCGGCTGGAGCAGAGGTAAAACCTGGGAGCCTGGAAGGGCCAGGCCTGGATGAGACCCCCGGGGCAGAGTGGGCTCTCCTCTGGAGAGCACAGGTGTGGGGAGGCTTGGTGGGGGGAGGGACCAAGATGAGGTTGTGTCCCAGACCCCCAAGGAGGAGCCTTGCGAAGGGGAAGCGACTGTGAGTGCTGTGAAGGGTCAGACACGGGTGCCGCTGTCCCGGGGTGGGCAGCATGCTGTGGGGGGATGGGGTGGGGGCTGCTGGGGACACGGCCTCGGGGGTACAGAAGGCCCTTACGGGGCTCTCTGTGAAGAGGAAAAGTGGCCGCCGAAGGAGTGAGATCCAGGAGGTCTTAGTGTTGGGAGCCGTCATCAAGCAGAAGGGTCGATGGGTAGAGAAGTGGTCACATGATGGCGGAGGAAGGCTGTGGAGAGGCCTGGACAGACCCAGGCGCCCCGGGGCAGTTGGAGGGATGGAACGATGGTGAGGTGTGGACCTTCTCTTCTGTGTAGAGTCCTTGCTGCCTCGGCAAATGCTGGGGCCTGAGGGGCAGCACAGAGGGCAGAGCAGCAGGAGTGTGTGCTCACAGTTGTGCAGGAGGGCCTCGTGGTTGGTGGCTGAGCGTTTAGCAGGAGGCCAGTGGGGAAGGGCATGGACTCTCACTGTCTGCGGGCCTGGGGGGCTTATGTCCCGGCCCCACTCGCATGTGGGCTCAGATCTCCCTAGCTGCCTCTTGTAAATACTGCTGCTGTGAACTGGGCGTTGCATGTTTCTTTTCCAGTCTGTGTTGTTTTCTTTGTGTGTGTACCCAGGAGTGGGATTGCTGAACCTCTTGTTGGTTCTATTTTTAATTTTTTCCACTACTGTTTTCTGCATAGTGGCTGCACCGATTTCCATTCCCACCAGTGGTGTAGGAGCTCTCCCTTTACTCCACAGCCTCCTCAATGCTTCCTGTATTTCTGAGGGTAGTCAGTAAAGAATCTGCCTGCAGTGCAGAAGACCTGGTTCCAGTCCCTAGATGGGGAAGGTCCCCTGGAGAAGGGAACAGCTGCCCCACTCCAGTACTCTGGCCTGGAGAATTTCGAAGGACAGAGGAACCTGGCAGGCTTTAGTCCATGGGTTCACAAAGAGTCAGGCACCACTGAGTGACTAACACTTTTTACTTTTCATTCTGACAAGTACAAAGTGAAACTTCACTGTAGTTTTGACTTGCATTTTCCTGGTTAGCCAGTAATGTTGAGCATCTTTTCATGTGCCTCTTGGCGATCTGTATTTTCTCCTTGGAGGAACTGTCTGTTCAGGTCCTCTGCCCATTTTTTAATCAGATTGTTCATTTGATACTGAGTTGTATGTTTTATATACTTTGGATATTAACACCTTACTGGTCATGTTATTAGCAAATATTTTCTCCCTTTCAGCAGGTTGTCTTTTCGTTTCGTCAGTGGTATCCTTTCCTGTGCAAGAGTATTTAATTGGGTCCCATTTGTTTGTTTTTGCTTGTTTCTGTTAGAAAATCACAAAAGATATTACTGTGATTTACATGTGTGCCTATGTTTTCATCTAGAAATTTTATGGTTTCTGGTCATATCCTGAGGTCTTTAATCCACTTTGAGTTTATTTTTCTAGGTGGTGTTACAGAATGTTCTAATTTCATTCTTTTACCTGTGTCTGTCCAGTCTTCCCAGCACCATTTATTGACGAGATTGTGTTTCCCCAGTATATATTCTTGCCTCTTTTGTTGATTCATCATAAGTGCATGGGTTACTTTCTGGAATATGTCCTGTTCCATTGGTCTGTGTATCCTTTTTTGGCCAGTGTTGTGTGTTTCGATTAGCTGTGTAATATTGTCTGAAGTCAGGAAATGGGACACCTCCATAGTTAAGATTGTTTTGGCTATTCAAGTTCTCTTGTATTTCCATACAGACCTCAGAATTATTTGTTCCAGTCAGTGAAAACTGCCACTGATATTTCATAGGGATTGTATTGAATTTCAGGTAACATTGAGTAGTAAGGTCGTCTGAACAATAATGATTATTCTAATCCAAGAACACGGTCAATCTTTGCATATAGTTGTGCTGTTATCAATTTCATTCACCAGTGCCTTTTATAGTTTCCTCACTACAGGTGTTAAGTCACTTTAGGTAGGCTTATTCCTAGTTATTTCTTTTTATTTTTTTGACGTGATTGTAAATAGGATTGTTGCCTTAATTTCTCTGATAGCTTGTTACCAGAAATACAACAGATTTCTGTATATTAATTTCATATCCTGCAAACTTAACGAATTCATTGAGCTCTAGTCCAGTGGCACGTTTGGGTTTTCCTGTGTGTAGTACTGGGTCACCTGGAAACAGTGGCAGTTTAATTCCCAATTTAGGTGCCTTTTATTGCTTTCTCTTTGATGGCTGTCACTAGGAATTTCAAAACTATATTGAATAAAAGTGGCTAGGGTGGACATCCTTGTCTTGTTCCTAATCTTAGAAGAACTGTTTCATCTTTTCACTATTGAGTCTGATGTTAGCTGTGCACTTGGGTACATGGCTTTCATGTTGAGGTATGTTTCCTCCATACCTGCTTTCAGATTTTATCATAAATGGCTGTTGACCTTTGTCAAAAGTTTTCTCTGAGGGAGGAGCCAAGATGGCAGAGGAATAGGACGGGGGGACCACTTTCTCCCCCACAAATTCATCGAAAGAACATTTGAACGCTGAGCAGACTCCACAAAACAACTTCTGATCGCTAGCAGAGGACATCAGGCACCCAGAAAAGCAGCCCATTGTCTTCGAAAGGAGGTAGGACAAAATATAAAAGATAAAAAGAGAGACAAAAGAGTTAGAGATAGAACTCTGTCCCGGGAAGGGAGTCTTAATAGAGGAAGTTTCCAAACACCAGGAAACCCTCACACCAGTGGGTCTGGGGGAAGTTTTCGAATCTCAGAGGGCAACCTAACTGGGAGGAAAAATAAATAAAATGCACAGATTACAAGTCTAAAAGCAACTCCCAGCAGAAAAGTACCCCAGACGCTTGCATCTGCCACCAGCAAATGGGCTGAACGGAGAGGAGTGGGTGGCACTGCTTAGTGTAAGGACCGGGCCTGAATGCCCTGAGGGCAATCGGAGGGAGCTAACGTGAGATAGCAACTTAAACTGTGGGATAGCAAGAGAGAGAGAGAGAAAATTAACCTGTGAAAAGCCCTAACCTAAGGCACAGCCAGCTTGTTCGCAGAACAAAGAACTGAGCAATACCAGAGAAGAGCTAGCCAGCTGCAGACCGGCCCATCCCCCCGCCAGAGGCAGGGGGGAGGTGGGTGCCAGGACAGAAAGGGGCAAACTCGGCCCCAGAGATGGCATCCCCTACCAAACTGCAAACAGGTTTCCAGTTTCTAGCCAAAGACTTCCTGAGGTTCTGGATGGCTGACATCCACTGGGAGGGTCACAGCCAGAGATCAGCTCCCCAGAAGAGACACAAGGCGCACCCAACCAGGGCGCCTAGAAACTCAGACTGGGACTGGGGAGGGGAGAAGTCACATTGCACCTGAAGAGAGTGCGCTCGTCAAGCTCCTGGTTGCCTGAGCTGTTCGGACTGGGGAAGGCACAAAACGCAGGCCCAACCGAGTCTGCGCCTTTGTGGAGTACCCAAGAACCTGAACCTGAGCGGCTTAGGCCTGGGAAGTGCACGCAACTCAGGGCCCACTCCCTGTAGAGCAACCTGGAGCCTGAACAGTGTAGACGGGGAAAGCACACACGCCGTGAGCGGGGCAAACCCAGAGTGGCCGGAACACTGCGAGCGCTCCCCACACAGGCCAGTGACATTTGTCTGCAGGGCCCCTCCCTCCCCACAGCACGACTGAACAAGAGAACCTAAACAACAGACCACCTCTACCCACTTGTGTCAGGGCGGAAAATAGACACTGTAGAGACCTGCAAACAGAAGCCAAATAAATAGAGGGAACCGCTTTGGAAGTGACAGGTGCAACAGATTAAAATCCCTGTAGTTAACACTGATTACACTGGAAGAGGCCTATAGATATTGAGAAGTATAAGCTGGGAAAGGAACTATCTGAAACTGAACTGAACCCACACTGCCCACAACAGCTCCAGAGAAATTCCTAGATATATTTTTACTATTATTTTTTTTAATTAAAAAAATTTTTTTCTTTTTTTAAAGTGCTCTATTACTCCTTAATTTTCATTTTTATAACCCACTATAA